TACTGATCTCCACCCTTTTACTTTTAGTCTATATGCATCCTTGCAGGTTACATGTTTTTCTTGAGACAGCATATACTTGGCCTGTATTTTCTTATCCATTCAGCCTGCCTATGTCTCTTGAGTGGAGAGTTTAAGCCATTCACGTTTATTGAGAGAACTGATAGGTAAGGTAGATTACTGTTCATTCTGTTGGGTTGGATGTTGTTGCTTTCGTAACTCTCTAGAGCCATAGTGATATCTGACCTTTAGTCTTTGGATGTTGGTTATTTTTATAATCGTGAGTTTCTATTATGGTGTTCCGTGTGTGACACTGGTTTGAGTACCTCTTGTAGGGCTGGTCTTGTTTTGGTGAATTCTCTGAGGCTTTGCTTCTCTGGGAATGTCTTTATTTCTCCTTCATATACGATGCTTAGTTTTCCAGGGAATAAGATTTTAGGCTAGGCATTGTTTTATTTCAGTAGAGAATGGGGCCCCTGTCTCTCCTTGCTTGTAAAGTGTCATGAGAATTTAAGTGTTATTCGAATTTGCTTTCCCTTGTATGTCACTTGCTTCTTTCATCTTACAGCTCTTAGAAGAGCCTCTTTAGTTGATATTTTGGTCAGTCTGAAGACTACATGACGTGACGTCTTCCTCTTTGCATTGAAATCCCAGGGTTCCTCTGGGCTTCTTGAACTTGTATATCGAGATTTTGAGCAAGGCCTGGGAAATTTTCCTCTATTATATCTTCGAAAAGCTTGTCCAACCCTTCAGTGTTGTCTTTTCCCCCTTATGGTAACCCTAAAATCCTCACGTTAGGTTTCTTCACGTAATCCCACAGCTCTTGTGGGCTTTGCTCTTTTCTCTTATTTCTCTGCTCTATCTCTGTGACTGATTTATTTAATTGGAAGGTGTTATCTTCAATCTCTGAGATTCTTTCTTCTGTTTGATCTACCCTGTTCTTGAGACTTTCCACAGTATTTTGTAATTCTCTGAGTTGATTCTTCATTTCCAGGACTTCGGTTATAGTTTTCTTCACTGTGTCGATTTCCTTAGTGATCCTTTGTTCCATATCCTTGAGACTTTTTTTGGTTTCTTTGTGTTGGTTATTGAGGTGTTCTTGCAGGTAGGTGAGTGTTCTTATGATCCACATTCGAAATTCCTCTTCTGTCATTTTGGTTGCCATGTTTTGGTTGTTGTCTGTTTCTAAGCGGCTGGTGCACCTCTTTGCTGGTGTGTTTTCCGTTTGTTTCTTCATATTTCTGGAGTTCCTTCGCTGATTTCTTCCCATTTCGCTCAGTTGTTGTTTCTTTCCTTTAGGTTTTCGATTGGGTATTCACATGTCTTGTTTAGTTTCTGAGCCAGTAGGTGGTGTTGCTCACTGGTCGCAGCTGTCACTGGGCTGGTGTCTGTAGGTCTCTCTACCCACTGGGGAGCCCTCCAGCAGTCCGAGATATGGTGGAGGGGAAACTGCCAATTTCCCTACCCTTCCCGCTGGTCTCCGGGCTGCTCCGGCGGCCTCCTGTCTTCTGCTTCCTTAATTACACAGGTGGAGATAGATGGCTGGAATGGGAGCAGTTCCTTTCTCAACTCCACCCCCAAGGCAAGGCTAGAAACTTTAGAGCCGAAGGCCCAGCCCCAAGTCACCAGAGTGTGTGGGTCGTAACATCTCTCTGTCTTGTATTCACCAAAGGCAGCATCCTACTAGGCTAAGACCTGCCCAGGTAAACTCCAGGGCCTGGTCACCGAACACAGGAGACCTGTGCAGGTAGAGACTGCCCTGAAGCTGGCAGGCCCATCGCCAGACCCTCGAATCCCTGTCTTCTGTCTCTTTAGTTATACAGGTGGAGATAAGTGGTAGGAATGGGAACAGTTCCTATCTCAGCTCTGCCCCCAAGGCAGGAACAGAAACTTTGGAGCCAAAGACTCAGCCACAAGACACGGGAGCGTGGTGGACGTAAATTCACTCTGCTTTATAAGTACCAAGGGAAGTCTCCCACGAGGCTCATCCCTGCCCAGGTGGGCTCCTCACTCTGGACACAGAGCGCGGGAGACCTGTGCAGTGAGATTGATTTGAAGCCGGCCGGCAGGCCGGCAGCCACACCCACCAGGCCGTGTCTTCTTTCTCTTTAATTCCACAGGTGGAGATAAGCGGCAGGAACGGGAGCAGTTTCTATCTCGTCTCCGTCCCCAAGGCGGGGATACAAACTTTGGAGCCAAAGGCCTAGCCTCAAATCCCTGGATGTGGGGGTCATAAAATATCTCTGCCTTATAACCACTAAAGGCAGCCTCAAGGATGCCCGGCTCTGCCCAGGCGGGCTCCACACTCTGGGCACAGCGTGAGGGAGACCTGTGCAGGGAGAGACTGACCAGAAGCAGGCAGGCAGCCAATGGGACCCACCAATCCCTGTTTTTGTCTCCTTAATTACACAGGTGGAGATAAGGGGCAGGAATGTGGACTGTTCCTATCTCAGCTCTGCCCCCCAAACCTGGGACAGAGACTTTGGAGCCCAGGGTGGGGCTACAGGTCGCAGGAGAGTGTGGAAGGCAATGTTTCTCTGCCTTAAAACCGCCAAGGGCAATCTCCCCTGTAGTACTGCCCCGTCCAGGCAGGGTCCACTCTCTGAGCACAGAGTCAGTGCCACTTGTGAAGCAAGTGACGGTCCAATATCAAATTGGTGGAGCAGGGGCGCGTCCCAGTGCTTTCTCTGTGCCTCCCCTCCAAACCCTGAGCCCAAGTCAGTGCTGGAATGCCAAATCAGCGCCAGAATGCGGGGGCAGGAGCAGTGCCAGAGCGGCAGAGGGAAGGGGGTCCTAATGGATCAAGGAGTCTATCTTTTCGCACTCTGACCTCTCAGTGCTTTCCCAAACCTCCTCTATATCCAAAGTCAAATCCTCCTTCTGTGTAAACTCCCCTTAACCATGGCCTGGGAGTGTTCTGCAGGGAGATGCCCAAGTGGGCTCTGGTTCCTGCTGCATGGAGAGCGGTTGCTGCACTCGGACCCTCCCCCTCCTTATACTGCCACTGCTGTGTGCTCTGGGGAACTCAGAGTGTTCCCTGCTCTAGTCTCCTCTCCACGCAACTTAGTCCTGCGCTGCCACTTCTCACCAACTTCATGCACCTCCCGTCCTACATGGAAGTGGAGCTCGGTGTAGGAGGGGGTGTCTCTCAACACCAGGTAGGGCTGGCACCACTGCCAGCTGGCAGCGGCTTAAAGCATGCCTGTTCCCTCCCTGTTGTGTGCCTCCAAATCCCCGAGTTTTGTGGAAGAATGATCGGTTCACCTTTGCTTTAGGCTGCAAATGGTCTTATCCCTTCGATTCCTGGTGGATGTCTGCAGGCTTGGGAAGCTGGTCCCGTGGTAATGCAGATCGCTCGATTGTGGCTATCCACTTTCTTCACTTTTCGCTCTGGGAGCAGAGAGCCAGGAGAGCACCCCTACTCTGCCATTTTCCCCATGTCCATTATTGATCTTGTTCAAGAGTCTTCTGTTGTGTATATATACCATGTATTCTCTGTCCATCCATCTTTTGATGAGTACTGAAGTTGATTCCGTATCTTGTCTGTTGTGAATATTGCTGCAATAAATGTATGGATGCAGATATCTTTTTAACATACTGATTTTATTTCCTCTGGATATATACCCAGGCAGTGGATTACTGGATAATATGGTAGTTATATATTTAATGTTTTGAGGAAACCTCATACTGGTTTTCATAATAACTGTACTAATTTACATTCCCACCAATAGTGTATAAATAAGAGTTCCCTTTTCTCCACATCCTTGCCAATACGTGTTATCTTTTTTTTTTTTTTTTTTGAGACAGAGTCTCGCTTTCTTGCCTAGGCTAGAGTGAGTGCCGTGGCGTCAGCCTAGCTCACAGCAACCTCAAACTCCTGGGCTCAAGCAAATCCTCTGCTCAGCTCCCGAGTAGCTGGGACTACAGGCACGAGCCACCATGCCCGGGTGATTTTTATATTATATATATTAGTTGGCCAATTAATTTCTTTCTATTTTTATGGTAGAGACGGGGTCTCGCTCAGGCTGGTTTTGAACTCCTGACCTTGAGCAATCCGCCCGCCTCGGCCTCCCAGAGTGCTAGGATTACAGGCGTGAGCCACCACGCCCGGCCTCTTTTGTTTTTTTGATAATAGCCATGCTAACAGTAGTGAGGTGACATGCTACTTTTGTCTGTTTTTGCATAATGTACACAAAATTGTACAATACTAGTACATTTATATCATACACATGCACAGATCAAAATGCATGCTTAAAAATTTTTAGTGAATGATACACAAAGTATAGAGACAACTTCACTAGCCAAATACTCTCCCTCACCTTATTGGTGCCCTCAAGTTTTTTTCTATATAGAAATTTTGAAGCTTTTACTGGATCTCGGAGACTGCTGACCACCTGATTGAGTTTTGTTAGGAATTAGAAACATCATTTGAAGGCTTCTCCCAACATAGGTGGATAGAGAGGGACACGTTATCAAGCACCTATTAGGTGCTAGGTACATGTTTCATCCCATTAACTTATTTCCATTTAGGGGCACAAAGGCTAAAGGTGATGTTCTCACTTCTGGAGTAATCCTAGAAATTGATCTTAGGACAGCCAGGGAACTATGCAGAAAGCTCTATTTAACATATACACATTGAAATTAACTTTTCAGTAGACCCTGTTCTGGGAGCTGGAAATAGAGAGATGAATCATAACTAGACCCTATCCTAGAGAAACTCACATTCTAATGGTTCAGAATGCTACATACCACCTTTCCCTTAAAGACATTTCTGTTCCCTGCTATGCTAATAATTAAAATGTTATTCTCTTCCTTCCATACAAATACTCTTCTTCCATCTTTGCTTCCTTTATTTCTTTATCTTTTTTTCTATATCTTTATTTTCTATTTCTTTATCTTTATTTCTATATCATTTCTCAATGTGGGCTAAACTGGGAATCCTGATAATGGTTACAGAGGCACATACATTTTTGGCCCACACTGCTCCCTTTCTTTGCTTTTAGTGAAAGTTGACCCTACCTCCATGTCTCCACTGGAGATTCCAAGTGACAGTGAGGAGAGTACAACTAAGAGTAGATCCTCAGCCTTACAGAGTCTGCAGGGACTACAGCAAGAGTGAGTACTTTTATCTTTACTTCAAGTTTTTCTATGTGAAAATACATAGAGATTTGTACACATGCACAAATACATAGAGATGGAACTAATTATCAGACACAAGACTAATAATTTGAGGACAACAAAATATAGGTAAAATATAGGTAAATAATGGTAAAATGCCTAAAGGTATATGAATTTATGTGCACACATGTGCATGTACATATATGTTATGCTAGAATTCTAATTGTAGATTATCAATTTTACCCTTGAGAAATCTTTAAATTTCCCATAAAGTATAGTTCTATACTGTTTCTCTCTGTTTAAAGAAGCCTTGTATTCCAGTGTTGGAATTAATTAGAAGTAGTTGGCTTATGCTTAGCAACCATGTTGTATGACAAATACATTTTTTAAGGCATAAGAATGAGACTTATTGAAGTGAAATATTCATACTGTTTGAGAACACAACCACCCAAAGAAAGATTACCACCACTCATGCTATCTCAGGAACCTGTACTTACTGAGCATAATGGCCTAGTTGAGAGAATTGTTTGTACTATTCCAATTATCTCTTTTCTTGGGGATCTAGTATTAAATTAACATAAATTAAAAGCTAATAAGAGGTGGCGCCACTGTATTTAAGTCCATTTATTTGGCCTCCACTTTAAAGTCACTCTTTGGCTTTATCTCTATTTCTTTGCTCAGATCAACAACAATGGCCAAAATGCAGGGAGAAGAGTCGCTTGACTTGAAGAGAAGACGGATTCATCAATGTGACTTTGCCGGATGCAGCAAAGTATACACCAAAAGCTCTCATCTGAAAGCTCACCACAGAATCCATACAGGTCTGCCCACTCCCATCACACCCCCAACACACACACACACACACACACACACACACACACACACACACACACACAATTTCTGAGAGATAAGAGAAGGAAGTCTTGAAACAAAGACTGATTCACTTATACCCACGAATAGAGCCACACTGATGGTTTTCACCCCTATGTCTTGTTCCTACTCTAAGGCAACTTTTCTAAAACCAGCCTAGGAAAGCACTAAGCCTGGTGTCTTCTGAATAGTCATCATCCTCAGTAAGCACTTGTGGAGTTTTTCTAATTGGAAAGTAATCACACTTGATTTTGGTATCTGCAGGGGGAGAAGGGTCCTGGAATCAAACCCCCATAGCCACTGAGGGACCACTGTATTAAGACATATTGTTATTGTTAAAGAAAAGCAAAAAAAAAAACATTAAGACTTTTATTTTGCTTAGATTTTGAATGTTGGCATCTAGTTGATTTTTAAAAATAAATACCAAGGACTGAAAGAAACCCAACTAGAAACCAGATGCAGCTTGTCAGTCATCAATTTATGCCGTTTGCCTTGGATACTCCTTCTCCCAAGTGATCTCCAGCTCAGAATCAGGACTTAAACACCTTGGACAAGGAAGAAGCCCTCCTTTCTTGTAAACATCTGTTGTGTTACATTTACTGTGTTAGGTTTTGTGTAGAAAGATCCAGAGCCCTCTATGCTGTTCATATTGAGGATATGAACAGGTGACTGATTTCTAGGCTGCATAGTGTAGAATGTTGTTCATGGAGGTGGAGAAAAAGAGTTATATTAATCAGTGAAGGGACACTAATGACTCTCAGGTTTCTGTTTTCAATAACTGAGTGGATGAAGGTACAGAGATTGGGAATTCGCCAGCCATCTCACAGCTAATAAGTGGGAAAAGCCCCATAGAGTCAAACCTTGGTATGCAACATAGATTCTCTATTGCTGGTATTCCACAGGTTCCTTGACACTGAGGCATCTGAAGAAATGCCCGATTCATCGCCCTCCAAAGATTATGATTCATTGTTAGGGGTCCTACAGAATTATATCACTGTCTTTGATAGATATTCTTTTAACAGAGAGCCATGGAACCCTTGCTTCTCTACAAACACCTTCTAGCATCCAATGTAGCCCTTCATCTCCCTTGAGCTTGCAGTCACATAAAGCATGAAGTACCTATACAACAATTTCCATTAAACATAATGTAAACATACTGTCAACCCTGAGTCTGTTTATAATGGTATCACACATTCACCCAGGCTCAAATTATTTTATTGATTCTTAACATTCTCTTATTCTCTCAGTTATTTGTTTCTAAAGTGAATATTTCCGTTTCATTTTGAATAGATTTTTATTTATAATGGTCATGTTGTCAAACTACACTGTCTGGTTTTGACATACCAAACTATTACTCATTGCTGAAAGTTACTTCACCTCTTTTTACCTCTGTGTCCTTATCTGGAAATAGTAATAGTGCAAAATACTTAGAATAGTATCTGGCATATAGTAAATAGTTAATAATGTTCGCTATGATTAGTGTATTTCTTTCCATTATAGTCTCATTGCCACCGCATTAGGGTTTTGTTTTTACTTTTATTTTTTTTAATTTAGTTTTATTTGTAAAATTTTATAGGGTACATATGAAATTTTGTTACATGTATATAATTTGTATTTCTATGTGTATAATGCATAGTGATTAAGTCAGGGTATTTTTGGTGTCCATCACCCAAGTACAATATATTTTTGTTAAGTATAATTACCCTACACTGCTATCAAACATTGAATTTATTCCTTCTATCTTACTGTATGTTTGTACCCTCTAACCCACTTCTCTTCATTCTCTTTTTCCCCCACTGACCCTTCCTAGTCTCCATTTTCTTTTTTTTTTTTGAGACAGAGTCTCGCTTGTTGACCAGGCTAGAGTGAGTGCCGTGGCATCAGCCTAGCTCACAGCAACCTCAAACTCCTGGGCTCAAGCAATCCTTCTGCCTCAGCCTCCCGAGTAGCTGGGACTACAGGCATTCACCACCATGCCCGGCTACTTTTTATATATATATATTAGTTGGCCAATTAATTTCTTTCTATTTATAGTAGAGACGGGGTCTCGCTCTTGCTCAGGCTGGTTTCGAACTCCTGACCTCAAGCAATCCGCCCGCCTCAGCCTCCCAGAGTGCTAGGATTACAGGCGTGAGCCACCGCGCCCGGCTCTTAGTCTCCATTTTCTATCTTTCCTCTCCCTAACTGCATGAGATCAAATATCTTAGCTCCTACATAAAAGTGTCTTCTTGTACATGGTGTATTTCACATAACATAAAGACCTCCAGTTCCATCCATGTTGCAGATGACAGGAATTCATTATTTTTTAAGGATGAGTAGTATTCCATTGTGTATATGTACCACATTTTTTTTATTTCGGTATATTATGGGGGTACAGATTTTAGGTTTCAATAAATGTCCATTCCCCCCTCCCCCCAAAAGTCTGAGTCTCCATCATGACCATCCCCCAGATGGTGCACATCTCACTCATTATGTAAGTATATACCCGCCCCCCTCCCCCCTCACCTGCCCAATACCCTATTACCGTATTACTATGTGTCCACTTAGGTCTACTCAGTTAATACCAGTTTGCTGGAGAATATACTCTGGTGCTTGTTTTCATTCTGGGATACTCACTTAGTAGTGATGGGTCCGCAGCTCCTTAACCAGGAATAAATAAGAATGTGCTACGTCAACGCATTGTTTTGAGCTGAATACTAATCATGGTATATAAATACGCGACATTTTATTAATCCAGTGTTGGATTGATGGCACTTGGCCCTGTTCCACCAGCCTTTGCAATAGAATTTGCTGCAAAACATTGAGTGCAGGTGTCCTTTGTACCAGTGCATTGGATCTTTTGGTAGATGGCCCCCAAGCAGATGGGATCGCTGATCAAATGGTAGATTCACCTGGTATCCTTTAGGTACTCCATTAATTGCTTCCAAAGAGGTTGAAACAGTTGCAGTCCCCACCAGCAAGTGTAGGACCAGTGTTCCTCCTCTCCCGTAACCACGCCAAATCATTATTGTCTTGGAGTCTTTTTGATAAGAGGCCATTCTCACGGGGTTAAGGATCTCTCATTGTGTTTTTGATTTGCTTTCGCCTGATGATTAGAGATTTGAGCCATTTTTTCAATATGTTGTGCCATTCTTCTGTCTTCTTTACAAAATTTCTGTCAAGTCCTTTGCCCACTTTTTTTTTTAATTTTTTTTATATTGCATATTATGGGCGGTAAGATTTTAAGGTGCAATCAAACCATTGCCTCCCTCCCCCCAAATTCTGAGTCTCCCATCATGACAATCTCCCCAGAATGGTCACATCTCACATTATGTATGGTATACGTCCCCCCCCCTCCCCAATACCCTATTACGTAGCAACCTATGTCCACTAGGTGCCTCTCCACGTTAAACCAGTTTGCTGAGATATATCTGTGGCCTTGTTTTTCCCATTCTTGGGATACCTCACTTAGTAGTTATGGGTTTCAGCTCTAACCCAGGAAAAGATATAATGGCTATATACGATGTTTCTTAGAGCTGAATATACTCCATTGTATACATATACCGCACCATTCTTATTCTATTTTATTTTTGCCATATGAGGGGTACAGATTTTAAACGGTCTGTCAATAAATCGCCCATTTCCGGCCGCTCCCCCCAAAGTCTGATCTCCATCATGAGCATCCCCAGAAGATGTGCAACATCGCACTCCATTAGTATGGTATATACGCCCTCACCCTCACCTCCGGCCCCCAAATACTCCTCATTAGCTTGTAGCACCTATGGTCCACTTAGCGTGCCTGCTCCAGGTTAATACCCAGTTTGCGAGAATATACTCTGGTGCTTGTTTTCATCTTGGGAAGCTTCACTTAGTGTATCGGGTTCCCAGCTCTAACCAGGAAAAAGAGATTCTATCCACCCATTGTTTCGTTAGAGCCTGAAAGTACTCCCCATGGGTATATAGTATACGCAACATTATTATCATTTTGGATGATGCACTTGGCTGTTTCCACCCAGCTTCAGATTATGAACTTGTGCTGCAATAGAACAGTGTCCGAGTGCAGGTGTCTTTTTTGTAGGCGTGTCACTGACCATGTTGGGTAGATGGCCACAATGGGATTGCGGATCAATGGTGATTCACATTCTGTATCGGCTTTA